CGCAGGATCTCCCTGCGGAGGCACTGCCCCTTCCCTGCCCTGCCCTGCCCTGCCCGCGCCGAGATGCTGCTGCCGGGAGCACGCGCTGTGCAGGGCACGGGCCGCAGCGTGCCCCCGCCGGGGAGTGGGCAGCTGGCACCGGCACTGCTGGGGCCAGCGAGACAGGGCGCTCCCTGCCCACGCGGCGCCGAAGAAAGGGGCTCTGCCGAGACGGGGACGGGGAGCGCTGGGCGGGGGCCCCCGCAGGCCTGGCCCTGGGGCAGGATGGAGCCGCGGCTCTGGCACCCTACCTGGCACCACTCCATTGGTAGCGATGGCGCTCATGGAGATAGCCGTCAGCATCGTCTGCGGGGAAGCAAAGTGCAGATGAGCCGTGCCCATCCTCTCCAGGCTGGCCCTTGCTACGGCTGCACCTGGAGAGCACTGGGGGTGCACGGCACTCCTGCCAGCCCCTGGCATCCCCCCTGCCCCCGTGTCCAGCCCGGGCCGCGCTGGGGACAGGCGCTCTGCGGGGGCTGGGGGCTGGCGAGGCCGGGGCACTCACACAGGAGCAGCAGAGGAAGACCATGCAGAAGGACTCCATGATGCCGGCGATGCCCACCACCCAGGTGAGGCGCAGGAAGAGGATGACCCCGAAGATGTTCTGCAGGCAGGGCAGGTACACGCCCATGAAGGTGCCCATCCGCGGCGCCTGCGGGCAAGCACACAGCGTCAGGCCATGCCGGCAGCCCGGCCAGCCCTTCCCAGACACGGGGGCCTGGAGCCGAGCCGTGGCGGGGGAGGACGGCAGTGTGGGGCAGCGCCCCCAGAAGGGGGTCGGGCCTGCCGAGCCCGGCGGGGGCGGCTGAGGGCTGTGCCAAGGGCCGGCTCGGCCGTGGCCGTGCAGGAGCTGAGAGGCAGCGGGTGGAGCCGTGTCAGCAGCGCCGGGCGTCAGTGCCAGCCCTCGCCGCGCCGTATCAGCCGCGCTCCGCTCACCCGCGGCAGCCCGGGCAGCATCTGCCTCGTGTCAGCGCGGCCGGCGCACCCGGCCGGAGCAGACGGAGAGGCAGGAAGGCGCAGGCTCGGTCACCGCGGCTGCTGGGCGGGCCGCAGCCCCCATCGCTCCCGCACGGGCCGCAGAGCCCACGGGGTCCGGGAACAGCGAGGTGCCAGGCTCCGGGGCCGCACGCTCACCTGCACGGGCTTCTTCTTGCTGCCATCGTTGTTCTCGGCCTCCTCGTGCTCGCGGCTGCCCTGCGGCAGGTTGGTGTAGTTGGCCAGGCCGCTCAGCAGGGACGACACCATGGGGCTGGTGTCCATCTCCTCCTGGGAACGCAGGGGCCTGCGTGAGGCGGGCGGCGCTGTCCCGGCGGCTGCCGGGCCTTGCCCAGAGCCGGCGGCACAGGACAGCCGGGAAGGGGACGGGCGATGAAGGGGGCAGAGCAGGCAGGGCAGCCGTGCAGGGGCAGGGGCAGGGGCAGGCTGCCCAGTCTGACCAGCACGAGCGGGTCTCTGGTCGTGGGGCAGGGCTGGGGGCTAGCAGGGATGTCCCCCACGCTGGCCTGGGTTGGGGGTCCCAGCCACATCCCGCCCCCCCGCCCTTGCCCTGTACCTCGAAGAGGGCCATGTTCTTGCCATCGTACTCCTTGCCCTTCTCCGTGTCCGTGCTGTTAATGAAGGGGCTGCTCTCCTTGGGGTTGCCATCGCCTGCAGAGACACGGGAGCGATGGAGGCTGGGCCCGTGCCGAGCTCCAGACCACGGAGCCGAGAGCTGGCGTGGGTCAGCAGGGGCCCCCTGGCCGCACGGACGCCCACCCTCACCACCCACGCTGCCCAAACCCCTGCGGCAGGAGCCTGGCTCAGAGCACGGCCCTCGGCCCTTCTGGGTCTGCTCCAGCCCTGCCCGACGGCAACCCTCCCCGGCACGACCACGGGCGCTCCCAGCCCGGCCCAGCACACAGAGCACGCGGGCTGGCCTGGATGCCCAGACAGACCTCCCTGCCCCGGCAGCGAGAAGCACTGGTGACCAGGCCGGCCAGCTCCAGCGCCTGTCGCCACGTGGACCCGGCGCTGCCCAGGCACCAGGGCGCGCAGGCGCCAGCCCGTCGGCGCGTGTCCAGCCAGCACAGACCTCTGCCAAGGCAACTCGTGTGGATCCAGGGGGAACCGCTCCGGTGCCGGCCCCGTGGGCAGGCTGGCACCGGTCACTCAGCAATGCCCTGCCCGAGCGCCACAGGGGCAGCCTGGACGTGGGCTGCGTGGACGTGCCACCGAGTGCTGGAGCCGCTTGGCAGCCTCCCCGGGGCAGGGGCTCTGCTTGCTGCTGCACGCGGCACCCTGGGGGCTCCCGGCACGGTGGGCGGCACGGGGCCCGTGCTGGGATGTGCTGAGCTGGCTCCCCACTGCACCGGGGTGGCAGAGCCGTGGCACTGCGAGGGGCGAGGAGCCTCGCCGGGGAGGGACTGGGCTGCTTGCAGCAGTAACGACCTGGCGCGGGAGGCGTGACAGCCGCGGGAGCAGCAGAGAGCTGCAGAGCAGTGGAAATAAATCAAGGTGGAAGCGCAGCCGCAGCCAGTGCTGGCAGTGCCCGCGGAGCACATCTCCAGCGCCCGCACCGTCAAGGAGGGGTGAAGGATGGAGGCGTCTGAGGAGCCACGGAGCAGCCCAGCGCAGACGTGCCCGCGGGCAGGGCGCCAGCCAGGCAGCGGGCTCCCGCGCCGGCTCCTCGGCCCAGGTCCTGTGGCCCCGAGAAGAGACATGGCCCGCTGCCCGTGGAGCACAGGGCCCCGACACAAGGCCATTGGGAAGGGCCGTCCCTGCTGGCCGCGGGCTCCTGCCCTGGGCTGGGAGGTGCTGGCTCACTCCTGGGCCCCTCCACAGCTCGAAGCCCAGCGGGGCCGGGTCCTGCAGTGCCCGCCTGCCTCTGGGCATCACGCGGGCCCCGCGGCCGTCATCCCCGAGCCACTGCTCTCCTTAGTGCCTTGATCCCACCCATACGTCCAACAGCACAGCAGGCACTGAGTCCTTGCTGACTTGCCCCAGGCGGGAGCTAGAAAGGGCCCCACGGCCCCGGAGCCCCCAGTGCCGCCTGCGAGGGGACAGCCCCAGAGCAGCGCCAGGACCAGCCATCTTCTGCACCGGTGTCCCAGGTGAGCGCGGCTGAGCCGGCGGCTCCGTAATCAGCTGGGCCACGTGACTGCTAGTGCAACGTCTGCTACACACACACACACATGCACACACGCAGAAACGTGGGGCTGCAGGGACTGTGTTACCGGGTCCCACAAACGAGCCTGGCTAACGAGGGTGGCCTGCACGGCGGGTTTACGTAACGACGCCCCTGGTCTGAGCGGAGCTGCTCCGCACGCCTGCCTCCCAGTTCCATTTTGTTTCCACAAATGCTGCATATAATGCATATTACATAACCGCCCCACATGCACACACACACACACACATGCACGCACAAGCGCACACACACACACGCGCACGCACAGGCACATGCACATGCACACGCGCGCATCCGTCCGCCTCGACCTGCTCTGGAATCCACCATCTGGGGCTCCGGGGAAAGCGCAGAAATTAAGCCGGCGAGCAAACGAGGAGGCCGGTCTGGAGGAGACACGCACGCACCCTGCCCCCCATGCACACGCAGCGGGGGAGGGGGCCGCCCGGCTGCCGGGCCAGCTCCGCACGCGGTGGCAGAGCCCGAGGGACCGGCTGGCATCGCCCGGCCCGTGCCCAGTGGGGAGCATCTGACGAGCGGGCTGCCAGGCTCAGCCGCAGTGCTGCTGCCGCCGCCACTGCCAAGGAGCTGACAGCTCAGACAGGCGCAGGGAGATGCCAGAGCAGGCTGCTGCGTCCCCTGAGCGCCGGGGCAGGAGGGCAAGGGGGCGGTGGAGCCAGTGAGCACAGCCCTGCCACGCAGCCTCGCTTGGGCAGGAGCTCAGGGGGACCCGCTGCCCTCCCAGGGCACTTCCAGACAGCCCGTGCGCCAGGGCCCGGCTGGGACAAGGCAGGCCGCGGCTGCCCACAGCTCAGCTGCAGGCGCCGGGTCCCGAGGGCTCCAGGCCGTGAGTGGGGAGGGTGAGCAGCAGCTTGGGGCTGGCAGGGCTTGGGACCCCCAGGCTTCCCATCTCCCCCAGCGCCTGGGACCCAGCGCCGGGGCACAAGCCCGCGGCCCCTCGGCCACTGGGACCCAGCCTGGTGGTACCCCTTCTCCATGCCGTCTGGTCACAGCGCTTCTCTTCACCCCTGCCTGGGTGCCAGGCCTCGCAAGGGCCCCCGCTGACTGCCCACAACACCCCTGCCACGGGGAAAGAGCCCAAGCACGGGTCCTGATGGCACATCCACACCATCCCGGGGCAAGAGCTAACCCAGTCTTTCCCAAAGCACAACAAAAAGGCAGGGCAACTGAGGCATGCACTTATGGCAGGGGCAGGACACGATGCCCCGCACCTGGCTAGGAGACGGCAGGCCCGAGGGACCTGCACCAGTGCCGTGGGGACAGGCGGGTAGAGGCCCCTGGCTACCGCCCCCAAGCAGGTGGTCCGGGTCAGGTGCGACGCGGCCACCAGCCCCGCAGCCTGCGCAGGAGCCGTGGGACCAGCAGCTTCTGCCCCTGCCCTGGCCCAGCGAGTGCCCATGGCCCTGCCCTGCCCACCCAGCCGGGACCGGCACCTCGGCTGGGAGCGCTCGGTGCAGGGCAGGGGCGGCTGCGCCAGCCCAGCTCCAGCAGGCGGGAGCGGGAGCCCCCACCCCGGGGCTGGAGCCGGTGCCACGGGCCACAGACATCACCGGGCTGGTTTCCATGGCAACAGAGAGCCGGCGCGAGCGCGGACAGGCAGCCCTGGCTCCCCAGGCTCTTACGTAAGGAGCTGGCCGGCCTGGCACACGGGGCTTGCAGCCCCCCTCCAGAGCCCTGGCACCCTGCGCCTGCTCGTACGGACCCCTCAGGGCCCCGGCACTGCCCCCTCCACCTGCTCGGCCCCGCCGCGGCCCTGGCACTGCCCTCTGGCTGCACGGGGCTGTGGGGTGGCCCCAGGGAGCAGCCGGCTGGCACCAGGCTCAGACCAACCGTCCAGGCCCCGCCTGGGGCTTCAACTGAAAGCAGCCCCCTTCCCACCACGCCACGGTGCAGCGCCGTCCCGCATCCTCACTGGCGCGCCAACGATCAGCCCCGCGCCCCGCGGGCTCCCGGCGGATGGCTCACCTCCCACTCTGGGCCCCTGGCCGTGCGCAGACAGCCCGGTGTCAGCCGAGCGCCCTGCGCCAGGCCTGGGCTGCTCACCAGCCTCTTTCTCTGCCCAGCTCCGTCGCTCCCCAGCCACCTCTGAGCCCCAGGCCCAGCCCCGCATGGAGCCATGCAGGGAGCCTGGCAGGGCAGGGTGCTCCCAGCCGGCGCCGGCGCCGGCGCCAGCGCCAGGGCAGGCAGGACTGCACCAGGTCCTGAGCAGCGCACACCTGCTGACTCACCGTGACAGGTGCAGCTCGGGAGCGAGACCGGGCTCCGGGGGCCCAGGTCCCGCTCCTGGCTGCCGTGGGTCTCCCTGAGGCCCAGACAGACCCTGTCAGGTGCCGGGATGCCGTCACACACTGGGGCCCTTTGCAGCAGGTCAGCCTGGCCCCAGGAGCACAGGCTTCAGTCTGGCCACAGCTCTGCAGTGGTGCCAGCCCCTGCCAGCCCCCAGCAGCCGCCCTGAGCAGAGCTGCCCTTGTCCCGTACCCCGTCACCCTGCCCCATCATGGTCCCGTGCCCCCAGATGGCAGGAGCTGGAGCAGGACTGGCCCTGGGGCTCGTGTGGTCCCTGCCTGGGGCCCAGCCACATGACGGAGGCAGCAAAGGGGCCCTCACCCGGGTCTGCACGGTCCCCAGAGATGCCCTGGCAGGGAGGAAGACGTGGCTTGGCCCCAGCAGTCCCTCCTCAGCCCAGCTAGCCCAGGGGCCTGGCAGGCAGCACTGCTCCTCCAGGCTGGAAGGAGTTAAGGAGTTAAGTGCTGCACGGCTGCCGGGGTCCCCTATGACGGATGAGCTCCCGGCTCCTGCCGGAGACCATTTTGCCGCAGAGGGGCTGGTGCAGCCTCCCCCCGGCAGCCTGCGCTCGGCGAGGACGGCAAGGCCAGGCTGCCTGGCTCAGAGCAGCCCCCTGGGGCAGAGCCGCTCTGCCCCGGCTGCTCAGGCGGCGGTGCCCTCTGCATATGGTTGTGCCAGGCCCCCCTGGCCGCGGTGATGGCACCAGGATGTCTTGACCTGTCCCAGCAACGCAGCCTGCTCACGGGCACCCGGAGCCCAGACGGCGTGAGAGCCCCGGTCCTGCTGCTGGTGCAGGGGTGCATGTGAGCGAGGCCTGGAGCAGGCGTGGGCACAGGTGGCTGCAGGGTGCGGAGCCGGCTGCCCCGGGCTGCTCCTGTGGGCAGGAGCAGAAGGAACGAGCGCCAGGCTTCGATCCCGGCTCCGCTCCCCCTCCCCAGGGACCGCTCAACATGAATCGGCCTTTTAATTTGCTGCGGCGGCGCGGCTGGAGTCCTGGCAGGGAACCGACAGCCTCACTACAGAGATCAGATCATCCCCGCCGCAGGGAGGGGTGCGGGATTTGCGCCACAGCGCCCCGACCACGGGCTTTGGCACGCGGCTGCTCCGGCCAGCAGGGAGTGCAGCCCAACCACGCCGCCCCAGCCCCAGGCCCCCGGGACCCGGCGGGGCACAAGCATGG